GGTAGAGTGCTATGGCATCACAGCTCACAGCAACCTCCAACTCCTGGACTTAAGTGATTCTCTTGCCTCAGCCTCCCAAGTAGCTGGGACTACAGGTACCCACCACAACGCCCAGCTATTTTTTTTCTTTTGGTTGTAGTTGTCATTGTTGTTTGGCATGCCTGGGCTGGATTCAAACCTGACAGCTCTGGTGTATGTGGCTGGCACCTTAGTCGCTTGAGCTACAGGCACCAAGCCAGTTTTTCTTTTTCTTCTCTTTTTTTTTGAGACAGAGCCTCAAGCTGTCACCCTGGGTACAGTGCCATGGCATCAAGCTCATAGCAATCTCCAACTCCTGGGCTCAAGCGATTTTCCTGCTTCTGCCCCCCAGGTAGCTGGTACTACAGGTACCCGCAAAAATGCCTGGCTATTTTTTGGTTGCAGCCGTCGTTGTTTGGCGGACCCGGGCTGGATTCAAACCCACTAACTTAGTTGTATGTGGTTGGCACCTTAGCCACTTGAGCCACAGGTGCCAAGCCAGTTTTTCTATTTTTAGTAGAGAGGTCTTGCTCTTGCTCAGGCTGAGCTCAAGCAATCTGCCCACCTCAGCTTCCCACCGTGCTAGGATTATAGGTGTGAGCCACCACACCTAGCCACTTACTGTGCTATTAAAAAAATTGCTTTATTCCTTAGTTAATAAAAAATTCGTTTATGTTAGTTATATATTTATTGAAAAAATATCAAAATGGTTCAGTTAAAGACACTTAGCCATTTGGATTATAAATTATATCATTTCCTTCTACCTTTAACCTCCCCGTCCCCAAATTAGTTAGATCCTTGGGTTAGGATACTCCACATTTCCCAGGTCATTTCTTCTGCCAGGTGAAATTACAAAAATGGAAGTGAATACAGTTTTCCTATCAAAAGCAACTGCTTCTGTGAAAAAATTATTTCTTTAAGGGCAAATCTCATCAGCCTGAAGAACTTAACTCAGCTCTGAAATGTGTCCAGTTCAGAGCTGGGCTGGTAGAGAGACATTGTTTTGCTGCCTTCTATAGGCTACACTCAATGACCTTCAATTAGTTCGAAGTAAAAAGGATGAATCCTTAAGGATCTGCAAAGAAATGAAACAAATTAATGCCCCAATAAGCTGGGAGTAGAGTGGAGGGAATGCTTATGAATATCAGCCTACGATTCAAAAAACCATAACACTTAGGAGACATGGAAAGATGGGTACTATATATTGTTAAATGAAAATAGGATGTAATAAAATATTAAGGACAGTTGGATTCAATTTTAGTAAAAACAGATTTAGTTACATCAGAATATTAATCTTTGGCTATTCTGGTGGTAAGATTATGGGTAATTTGTAATCTCTTCTTTTTACTTATCTACTACATTACTGGGTGACACCAATGGCTCAAAGGAGTAGGGCACTGGCCCCATATGCTGGAGGTGGTGGGTTCAAACCCAGCCCCCGCCAAAAAAATAAAAAACATATCTATATTACCTAAACTTTTTCTTTTTTGAGACAGTGTCATTCTGTTGCCCTGGGTAGAGTGCTGTGGCATCATCCCAGCTCACAGAAACCTCAAACTCTTGGACTTGATCAAGCCTCTTGCCTCATGGGCCACTACTCAAAGCTACTTTTTCTATTTTTAGTACAGATGGGATCTTGCTGTTGCTCAGGCTTGTTTCAAACTCCTGAGCTCAAGTGAGCCACCCACCTTGATCCTCCCAAAGTGCTAGGATTACAGGCATGAGCCAATGGACCCAGCCTTGTCTAAACTCTCTAAGATAAATATAGTAATGTGAACCTAGTTTAAAAGTACATTTTAAAAGTGGTGTTCCACATGGACTTCTTAGGTGCTGACTTCCTTTTCCTTGGTCTGGATGCTGTATGTCATCAAGCTTTTCATTTATAATACGTACACTTCTCTGTATGTATAGTATTCTTCAGTTAAAATGGTTTTTAAAAAGTAGTTGTACAGAACTCTTATTTGTTGGTGGTGGAGACACAAAATGGTCCAGCCACTTTGGATGGCAATTTGACAGTCTGTTATAAAAGTAAATGTACTGGCTCGGCGCCTGTGGCTCAAG